TAGTCCAAAACTATAAAACTTACATACTCATATTTACGCATGGCATTTTACTAAACAAATAGGTATTTTTTTACAAAAGTAATTTTTTTTTTTTCATTGAAAATCTAAACTCTTAGCATTTATTTGTACGGACGTAATGTACATATGTGCGAGAGGAGGATTAGTCTCGCGCTTTGTTAGAATTATTCAGTAGTTCAGAAGGCAAATTTGAAAATAAGAGTAGGGCTTGATAAAATTTACCGACTTCATTAAAATTTCAATTAGCCGTAATGGTGACTGGAAGTCGAGCGTTTACGCTGATATGTTTCTCTCTTACACATTGCCATGCGTTCATACAAACTAAAACGTACATATAAATACGATCGTATGTATCTAGCTGCACAGGTTTCGATTCTGCAAAGTACAACATATTCTATTCTCTTTACTTATTTTCAGCTAGTGAAGATTGTGAATAATACCCAACTAAATATCCAGGCAAACAACCACTCAACCAACCAGCCAGGCTTCATTCAACCAACCCTCAAGACGAGCAGTGATCTTCAGCACTGCATCAATTGAATTGAAAGTCAGCCTCTGCAGAACTCTGTTCACTGTACTTTCAAACGATATACAGAAGAGAAACGATCGCGTACTAAGGAAATAAGAGACATATTTTGCCGCCATGTTGAATCCTAATCACACGGGCGCAACGCGACGTCCTTTCTCGCGTAACGCACCGTCTCGCAATCATCGCAGTCGTATGTTATTCTCCCCGCACCATCATTCGCATCACCTGTTACAACAGCAACAACAACAACAACAACAACAACAGCTGCATGGTCACGCTCACGCGCACACGCAATCACGCATAGGTAACGGCAACGGTAATGGCGGCGGCGGCGGCGGCGGCAGCGGCAGCGGTAGTGGTGTCGGCGGTCTCGCCTTGGGTTCCACAGGGGGCTCCTTAGGTAATGGTGGACAGTGGTACAACAATAAAGACAACAATGTGGACAGCTGGAGTGCTCTTGGGTAAGATTGCCTTGTTTACGTTAACAACGCTTACACACACATCCAAATTATGAAGTATTATTATGCATTTATAAATAAAGATTAAACATATAAAATATATATATGTAACCCCAATTCCCAAGTCCCTACACATTACCACACTTCCACTGTAGTCCCAATCCAATCGGACGTCCAACCCAAGCCAATTCGGCCCCAACGAATAGCTTTACTTCCATATCCACAACCACCACTCACCTTTACCTCAAAATCCACCACCACCCACCCGCCCTTCCATCCACTAACGAAGATACCAAAATTATTTTGAAGTACAGTTCAAATAATCCGATATACCACAAACGTAATGCTTTAGGTTAAAGGGTGAATTTTGTAATTAATAAAACCGTTAACATTTGCTATCAAATTAAAAAAAAAAGTCTGTAAAACCTTATTGTAATACCTCACCTCAGACGGAAATGAAAAGTGTGACATACGAACATATACATATGTATACATATTTAAGGCGGATTCATCCTTCTAGTTCAGAACTTTTCTTCCATGGGATTGTCGTTTTGTTTGTCTCTCTCTGGGAGAGCAACTGAGAAGAATTCTGAACGCTTTTGGGTTGTTAACTCAACTTCAACTTTAGTTTAAAACTAAAACGATGAATCCACCTTAAAGGCTCAGTTATGCATACTTTGCACTGCACTGCATAACATGTCATTTTACGTAAAAATTAAAAAACCAACAGACTTTTGGATATGTAATGCTGTGCGTTGGGTAACATTTAACAGATTCCTTATTTATGTGACAACTTTCATGCAATGCCAAGTATGCATAACTGAGCCTTTACGTACAATGAAAAAAAAAAAAAAAAATATTACAAATACATACATACGTAAGTATATGGGGCGTTCCATACCAAAATGGACGGGTTCACACTTCATATGTTTGATTAGTTTCAAATTTTTAGGGTTATGGTTAAACATAAATATTTATTTTCATAGACAGTTTTGATTTGTGCAAACTATTAAATCGATTTGTGTTTGTTTTTGCGCTCTAAAGTTTTTAAAAATGCACTAATCAAGCACAAATTTCATATTAATTTCTAATTTATCATTTATGTTTATCCATCAAGCCTAAAAATTTTAAACAAACCAAACACACGGAACCTCCTATATACAATGTACCTATGTATGCATATGTACGAGTATATATAATGGATACGTTTCATTTCCGTGCGTTCTGTAATTTATTATTTTATAAGCTACACCAAAAGCATCATACATATCGTCAGTCTCCTTGCTTTCGACCTTCCCATTTACTTTCACATGTCTATTTTTTTTTTTTTAATTTACGTCGAATTGTCATTTGTACTGTTATTATTGAGACAGTCGTACATAAAAACATAGGTTCATCAATTTACATACATACATAGGTCCATAACGATCGTTGTACGTAGAATATCCATCAAGTAGAAATACTAAAACCACAGACAAACGTCCTCCACACTTACACACACAAACCCACATAATACTTGAACATTCGCCATATTTTTTCACCATGAGCGTAACAAATAATGCAAACATTTGTAAAAGTATTTGAGTAACATTGTGTAAAAAAAATGTATAAAGGAATTATTATTAAAATTAACAAAATTACCACGGGATAGGTATTAAAGCTCAGCTCCAGCTCCTTCGTACTGTACTTCCCGCTTATATCCAAAAATAAATTCCTTTTGGTATCAAAATATATGTATGGCGCTTTAAATACATACATTTAAGAGTAGATCAAAAAAGCGGTGAAAACATACCATTATTATATGGGAAATACTAGCAAGCAAAAGGGAGTGGCGGGGACTTCCATATGTTTGCACATTAGGGTGGTACAAATAAAGTTATGTTGGAATTTTAATGCTCCCAGCCTCTAGGATTATTCTATGTCGAAAAAAATACACCCCTCTTTTTTTGAAATGAAAAAATATTTATAGATCCCTCACAGCTTTCCATGTATTTTACATGAAAAAAAAAACAGTTTTTCATTGAAATGGTATAGAATTCTTGAAACTCAATATTTTTCGATCGGAAAACTCTGGTTCTCTGCACGAGACTTCCAATAACAATACCCAATTGTTTATTTAACCATTTTTTAATACTAAAGATTTTCTATTTATAATTAGGTATTATTATTGGGAGTCTCCTGAAGAGAAACAAAGTTTTCCGATCGAAAAATATTGATTTTCAAGGATTCTATACCATTCCTACGAAGGGTGTTTTTTCCATAAAAAAACACCTGGAAAACATTGAGCGCTTTGATCGACCTCTAAAAATTTTTTGATTTTTCAGTATAGAACAATCCTAAGGGGGTGGGAGAATAAAAATTCCGACTATACTTGTTCACATGCATTTTTGGACCACCCTATTGCACATACGTATGTACATATACATAAGCGGGAACTACGAAGTGCAATTTTTTACTTCTTCAGAAAGATTATTAAAGAAGGTTTTATAAATAAATGCGAAAACTTTTTTTTTAATTCGCTTCTCGGCGCAATGAGCGCAATTTGAAAATTATATTTGAAAAGAGGTTTTTAAGAACAGATAGGTCCAGTTTGATAAAGTTTCACTTTCGATTTCGCTTTAAATTACTGGCCGAAAGCGATTAGATCCACATAAAGCTTTCACGTTTAACCCTTCGGCTCTCGTTGTGGTCTGTGAGACCGTTTTGAAAAGCTTCACCTAAACTTGTTTGTTTCCATTGTTTTCCATACATTAGGAGGTGCGAGTTTTGCTTTACTCGAATTTCTAATGGCCGAACTTAATGAAGTAGTGCCATTCTGGCTGCTCAAAACTTGCTCAACGTGCTTCCCGATTTTCATATACGGCAAAAGCTGTAGAAAACTGCATAGTTGTTAGTCATACTAACCTAGCCATAAATTTTTTTTTTACTTACCGCTTGGGTAAATACATTCATCCTGGTCGTTTTTGTTTTACACTATAATTTCTATTACTATTTTCTAATTTGAATTGGTGGTAATAATGGGAGCAAGCAAAAAAGTATTATGATGAATCGAATTATTTGGTTATTAATTTATGTACATATATGGGGTATTCCAAAGTCACGGGAGGGACATTTGAACGAAAAAATTGTAATTCTTTTTTAAATTTAAATATAAAGTACTCTACCATTATAGATTTCGATGAAGTTGTAAGGCTGCACTACTAGAAATCAATTTATAAATGACTGTTACGGACGGGACACTCTAAAATATTTGAAAAACTTTCAAGTTAGCACTTAGAAAATTAAAAAGAAATTAAATATGTAGGTATATATATATATATATATGTATATTAAAAATACAGTCTAGTTATGAAATTTTGGGGGAAAACCCCAAAAGTAGTAACTAAGAAATACGAAGTTTCAAACACTATTTTGTAAAATGTTGCACATAGACAATCATTGTTTGTTCAATCTGTAATATAACCGAAATGCTTAATTTTCTTCTAAGCAATCTTAAGTAATTTTTTGGGACGAAGTAAGATTCAGCATTTAAAAAATAATAATTATGTTAAAAACACTTAATTTTAAAAATGTATACTCGTATTAAATTAGTTTTCTTATGTTCACGTTTTGCATGTACTTCTACATCTAGTGTAATAAATTAATAATAAACAAAATTGTTTATTCGAATTTACGTTAATTTAGGTTATTGAGTACTGATTTGATAATTCACTTTATATTTGTACACAAAGGTTCACTTACTCATGGAATACCCCATATATATATCTTAAAATAAATACACTAAATTCTTATATACACACATACATCTTCATACAAACATACATACATCTGATTCAAAGGGATTACATCGAGGCGATCATCTTGAAACGTAATAACAACTTCCTCCTTTATTTAATTTCTACCCACCTAAAACACTGGTCGCACCACCTTGCTACATATAGTATATTCGTCTACGTATACGTATGTATATTGAGAAAATGCATGAAAAGCACATGAAACGTGATAATTACATATGTATGTATCCGTGAGTTCATTTTCCTTCAACTCCTTGTCGTTTGTAGCGCAAGCGAAAGCAAATCTTTTCAAATTTTCAAGTAGTTTTTATATACAGTTTAATTAAAAGCAAAGAAAAAACAAAGAAACAAAACGCAAACAAATACAAAATATATCTATTATTTGTTTTATGTATGTAATGACCACTGCTTGTTGGCTAAAAATCAAGAAAAACCCTATGAAAATCAATGGCAGCAATTGTGTAGTTTGTATTCTGCATTATACTGCTTTCCTTTTTCAAAAAAAACAGCTAAGTAATACTTAAATACAAATACATATAAAATATATTGAAGATTGAAAACTAAGTGCTGTACTTTCATATATTTGTTTATTTTCACACTTAAGGCTTTAATTAACTATGTTGTGGGTTCTTGTATTGTAATTAGTACGCTTCTTCCCGGTCAAAGATGTTTTATCACTTATATACATTTAATGCATACAACATTCAAATAAATAGTATATACAAACATACTTATGTATAAATAAATTAATTAATATATAAATATGTATGACCATGTATTTGTATGTATACATACAAATGTGAAATAATGCCAATTTTTAAAGCATGATGTATAGGCTCAACATAGTTACATACATACCATACCATACATACCTGTTTTTGTCGGTTTCTTTGTGGTAGATTAGTTCGTACCAGAGTTGCTAATTTTCTACTAACAAAGTGGCAATTTTATGATATACAGTACCCACAGTAAAATTTGATTCTCGTACAAAAAAAATTGTTCTCATTATCTTATTTTTATTGTCGATTCGTCTTTGTGGTTTGGTGGAGTTCCCGCATGGAACTTGAAAAGCTTTAGCTTTTAGCGTCATACAAATATGTGTACATATAATGCCGTTGTAATTGTAAAATTTCATTATATACATAAAACTGAGGATTTAGATTACAAAAGAGGCACTTAGACTATTGGCCTTATTCATAAAAAATAAAGTAGCTTTATAAAAGGTTTATTTGAATTGAAAAATGTATGAAAACGTCAATTTATAAAGCTCTTTAAACCTACTTTATTTTTTATGAATAAGGCCATATTGGTTTATTTTGAAAATCATAGTTAAATGTCGGATGGGGGTTTCACTCTTTATTGAGAAAATTGCCCTTATGCTTTTCAGATGTTCAGCGCTGCTAACAATAACACAAATTTGGATCAATTGAAGGCCAAACTTATCAACTTGTAGCCAAGATTTTACCAGAGTTGAATGAAAAAGTCATCGAAAATTACCTTAAAAGTATTAGGTCCTGTAAACGGTTCCTCGGAGGGCAATTGATCGATATTCGTTCTACGTACATATGTATATAGTATAGTCCAGATTTAATTATGAAATAAATTTGCATCGAAATTGTAATGTTCAGTGTGTTTTTTAAAATTTAATTTCGCAAGACCAAAATGGGCAAGCTGTTAGAACTCCACACCAAGCTTTTTTAGTAGCCAGCGCCTTTCCGCCAAGCTAGTAAATAGACATCAGTAGGGGTAGACTTAGCATAAGAAATCATCAATGATTAATCAACACGTCAACTTAAGCCAAGAGCGGAAATACTTTGTTTTTGTATTTTCTTTTTCAACTGTTTAACAATTCGCCGCCTAAAATGCCACATCAAAAAACTACATGAAAACAAAAATGTTCGCGTCCATTTATTTATAAGAAATACAAAAACGAGAGTCTGGCAAGCCTGATTCTCTCAGCGCTCTCAATTTCCGTAAG